ACATCAAGCAGTGTGGGCGCTTAGGGGCGCAGGGTTTGAAGGCACCCCTGTGCTGGTGCAGCTTTGGGTGAGATCCCAGCTGTGTGGATGCATTTCCCACGGCACAAGCCCTGGTACAAGGTAGGTGGCTTCCCAGTTGATTCATACAAATATTGAAAGTTGTCCCAGTTATGTGTTTTGCCCTTCACAGCCTTTGTCAGTTTAGTCAATTTTTCTTGCTCAGAGCGTGCACGGATTTTTTAGAGCCAATAAAATAAAAAATACTGATCTGCTTGGTGCAGTAGCTTATCTTCAAAAAAATAAGCAGCTCAAGAGACTTCAGAGAAAGAATTAAATCTGCACCAAAGAGAAAAGAGCCCTTAGGTCTGAAGAGCTGAAAAAAAGGAGCTGAAAGCTATTAGAAAGCTATTAGAAGCTATTTGACAATAGCAAGAGCTGTTAGAGAATTTTAAAATATCATATTATTATCACAAGCCTTTATTTTAATAATAAAATTGACCATTATTCCTTCTGTACACAACATCACATATCACTGCTCAAAATTTTTTTCCCCCTCCTTTGATCAGCAATTCCCTTTTGAACTATCTCCTCTCAGCTCCTTCTTTGATCACCTTTGGCACAGTGCTAGAGTACAGAGGACTAATGTTTTTAGAAGAGCAAGGAAAATCTCAGGGTACAAACCATATTTAGATGAAACACAATGTTGATGTGTCTCCAAAGCAGAAAGTCAAACTAAAAGAAATACGTGTTAGTGCAAGGAAATGGCAGAAGCAAGACAAATTGGCTGGCGTCAATCTGGTGCTGCAATTCATCCCTTGCCGTGGGGTTGCAGCAAACAGCATCTGTATGAACCTTGATGGCTAGAAATCAATAACATAGATTTCATCTGCAAACAGATGCAATCTCTGCCCCTTCATGGGAGGGGCAGCCAATACCTCAGGCAAATATGGGGCACAACTTTCAGGCATGGCTGGTGTGTGCTGTGGGGAGAGTTGCGTAACCCCGTGAGCAGCCTTGTTTTCATAACAAGCACAATGGCAAACCAAAGGGTCAGATGTGAGGGAGGAAGACTGCTGGGGATGGACAGATTTAGGAGCAAAGTGTAAAAGAATTAGTTCTAGGGTTTATGAAAAGCATGTAAGCAAGACTTTAAGAAAAGTATCATTTCTTAGGAAGAATAGCCGAGTATATGACAACCTTGAGTAACCAACAGGTCATAGTATTTTATGGTTTTCTATTTCCACTTTTATTTCAGCCTGATGTTACCTGAAATTCCTTCCTTTATTTTTTGTGTTTATTTTTTCCTGTTTTTACTTTAGAGTTCTCCTTCAGAGGTAGTAAATTTTCCCTTTAGCATGGGCATCTGTGATTTCTCCATTTGGATGGATTTTTTTCTTTTTATCAAGGAAATAAAGATAGCATTGCTTGGTAATCTGAGAGGATATTACAAGAGTTCCTGGATGACTGAAGTATGTTTTGCAACAGAAGTCCCTTTCAAAAAAGTAGAGATAAAGTGATATCTAGATAGGGGACGTACACATTTAGAAAAAAAAGAAAAAGTGAAATTGCCTCTACTTCTCCCTCTGCTGCAAACTGTATTTGTCAAATACAAAATGCTTTGGCACGGCACACGTAGACGACAAATTCTTGACAGTAGCACAAGTGTGAAAACTGCAGACTCGAACCATAGTTCCAAAGTATCTTTTACTTAGTTACACATTAACAGTTGCAGTAGTTGTACATTCACACATTAAGATACCATTCCATTTTAGAGTTAAAATGGAAGCTTTCTTTTCAGTGTGTTACCAATGAAACAATTATATACAATTTTTCTGGAAAAAAGGTAATGAATCTTTGCATAGCATTCTAATGGTCTATAACATATTTGGCTACTAATAAATATTCAACTATAATCTTTATTAATAGAAAATATATGCGCATATTGAAATATTAAGGGGATACAGTGCCTGCACTCCCTAATGAATGTCTTGCATTAATGATATAATGAGAGCTCTCCACAACTCTTGTCATAGCAGTTCTGGTCCACAGTAGTCGTTACATATTGAATGTGCTTCCAAACTATTTCTTCCTCCTTAGAGTTTAGCTGAAGAAGTAATAAATATTTATATTCAACTTTTCCACTATTCCCCTGCCCCCCCCCAAACCCCCACCCAAAGCTTGAAAATTAGCTTATTTCTGTGTGTGTCAGATGCTCTGGGCATACTGCTTCCTCTACGATGTATGACATGTTGTGTCTTAACCTCTGTTTATTCTTCCTTGTAAAAATACATCGATTTTCACAGATTTGTAATTCTGTTGGAGAGTATTTTTTTTTTGAGGGGGTGAGGTAGAGGAATTTATTGCGTACTTTTGTTAAAACATGAACTCAATAAAATTCAAGTTTCATTAGGAAATATTTTAGTTTGAAATTTTTTGACCAGCCTTACCATTTAGATATCTAGATTTATGTACACTAATGACTCACACATCCTTCCCCCCCGAGTTTTCAAGACCTTTGCTATTGTTTTCACAAACTGCTCTTTCCTCTTCATTCTAAAAAGATACAAAAGCTGCTGCAATTAATCTTTGCCTTGCTTTTCCGTGCCTTTCCAGCAATTGCTTCATTTCTTTGGCTTAAGACCCATCTCTTTTCTGAGATGGGAGCACACTTCTTGATTTTTCAGATTTGTCTTATGTGTTACTCTCTGTTGAAGGAAATCACCAAATGTCACCACGACTCAGTTAGCCCCACTTTAACCTGTGGGTTGAGAGTTTAAACTAACCTTAAAAAGAGACTGAAGGGAGCAGATAATGAAAATCTTGTTCTGGACAGCCGCGCTCCACAGAAGTTAATTAACATGCCAAAAGTTAAGTTTATCTTTAACCAAGTTACTCGTGTCTAAAGAGGTAAGCATACATTTCACTCTTCCTCTCAATGTAAGGGCACCTTTGTGGTGTCACATTTCCCAAGCCCCACCTAGCCTAGAAGCATGTGACATCCTTTGCCACATTGGGACTTTCTGCCAATGCTAACTTTGGCTCTGCAGCATTTCTTCTGGAGAACTGCAGTCTTGACAAATTTAGGGTTCACCAAATCCCAAATTTTGGCTTCTTCCAGCCACACCTAGGTGGAGATTTTCAGAAGCAGTAGCCAAAATGTTTTATCCTGATAAAGGACTGAAGAAAATGACAGCCCCTTCCTAAAAATTCTGGTGGGCTTTATGGGCTTTTATGGGCTTTATGAGAGGCATCCCTGCCCATGACAGGGAGGTTGGACTAGATGATCTCTGAGGTCCCTTCCAACCTAGGCCATTCTATGATTCTATGATTCTGTGGCTTCAGACAGACACTGCATTCACCACGTCATAACATTAACTGAGGGTGGGATTGCTTGTCTGAGTTTAACTGGCCAAAGTTTAGCAGTCTACCCTAAACTAGTCATCTAGTCCCCTTCTGTAGTCAGTGGGGAAATATAGGTATCTCCAGAAGTGATTCATTCCTCATGCCCAGATCTCTCTGCAGATGGGATGACTCACTGACTGCAGAGTGAGGTTAAGGTTAGGTGAGGTGTATTGTGCTTCTGAATACTGCTTGTGTTAGCCTGCTCTCATAACAAAGCATCACTCCTTGAGCTGCAGACTACCTACTTCTGGATACTGTTTGTGTTAGCCTGCCCTCATAACCAAGCAACACGCCTTAGCTCCAGACTACTCACAGGCTGGGCTGCATCGCCTCTCGTTTGGAGCAGCGTAAGAACACACACCCTGACAGTCACAGCAGCTCACAGGACAAGTGCTGGCAGGTTCAGCTGCCATAGCCAAGTCATGTGGCTGAACCCTTAGTACTAGCACCTGTTTGTAAAACTGGCTCTGAGATATTTCTGATAAAGAGAATTATGACTCAGAAAGATTGTGGTTTTGAACACAAAAATATTTCAACACAAAATATTTGAACAGAAAAATATTAGGAAAAACTTTTTCATTGTGAGGGTGACAGAGCACTGGCACAGGCTGCCCAGGGAGGTTGTGGAGTCTCCTTCTCTGGAGACATTCAAAACCCACCTGGACGCGTTCTTGTGCGATCTACTGTGGGTGATCCTGCTCTGGCAGGGGGGCTGGACTAGATGATCTTTCGAGGTCCCGTCCAACCCCTGACATTCTGTGATTCTGTGATTCTGTGTGAATTGTTACACCATTTCAACCAGCTCAAGTTACTTCCAAATATCTTTGTACGCCTCCTTCTTGACTGCAGTGTCACATTTCTTTCTAGCTGCAATTGCTACCAATAATTAATTACTTTATTAAACATACTGAGAATCTTTGATCCTGAAAAGCAAATCATCATATAAAGTGAGTATCTAGTCCCTACAGCTTCATTAAAGTGACTCCACATCAGCTTTCTTTTACCTCAAGAAGCTCATCAGACTTCCACCAAATAATGGACCAATCTCAACTATTTATAAAGAACCCAAATCGTCTACATGATCTTTCACTTTATTCCTGATGAATTTTTCTTTCATCTCCCACACAACTGAAATCCCATCATCACAGCTGTGTTTTCTTCTTTTCACAGTCTGGGAGATTTCCAGTTTACCTCATTCCTTGTGTTTTTAAATTTTTGAGAATTGTTCTTGATCTAATTTTCACCTCCTCATTTAGATACACTGGCTTTACTCTTAGTTCTGATGGATTTGTAGCTATGAAGCACTCTTATCCCGTTGGAATACATCCATTTATGTTTGAGTATTTTGTGTTTCCATTATATGATCCCATCTGATTTCACTCAGAACCACCCGTGGTTACTTCCTGCTTTGATGGAATTTGTTTTCTTTGCTTTAGGTTTCATCCTTGGACATAGTGGCAAAGGTGTAATCCTGACTATGCAGACACCATCAGTTTGTCTCCAGCTATGTCTCTGAGGTTAGTCACAACAAACAGAAGTGCTAGGGAAGGCTGGGAAGGCTGCAGAAAAAGGACATCACAGGGTTCTTAATAATGGGACTATTTGTCCTGGGCAATGTTTAAGTTTGCAGTCACGTCCAGGACCTTTTCATGCTGCATGCTGTACACCTGCAACAAAACACAGCACTTACCCATGGCCAGACATAGCACATACCAACAGTTCCTTCGGGCATTCATGCCTCCTCCACTGAACCATGAACTTGGATGAAGACCAGGCTTGAAGTAAAATGTGAAGTGCAAAACTGGTGTCCTTCTGGTTTTTTTTGTCCAGATTCAGTATGGCCTGGACCATAACTTCGTTTACGGAACCATAGAAAGAGTTTCTTTGAAAAGAAATATACCTAGATACCCCTTGAAAAGATATATTTGTGGAAGGATGTTGAGTAAAATCAACAGAGAACAAGTACAGGAACCTCTGGTCAGAGTTTGGTTTAATTTAAGAATGAACTAAATCATTTTAAGATTGACTCAAAAGGGAAATATCTATTTAGAAGGACAAATACAGGTTTGTTTGAAATGGCAGAGCATTCATTTAGATAAAAAAAACCCGAACACCCTGTCCTCTAACTTACTGGTAAGTATTTTACTTGTGCAGTAGTCATGGTAGCTGATAGAGCTATTGTAGCAGATACAGCTACTGTTGAGGGGATGAGCTCCAGGAAGCAGTTTTAGAGTCCATGTCAACCACCCCCTCTTGCCTGCAGGCCTCTGACAGCAATCCCCACTTCTTCATCACCTCCTGCCCCATGGGCAGTATCTGAGAAGATGCCCAGGGAAGCGCCTAATCACTAAAGCAAGACTGGAGGTGGCCAGGATATTTTATTTTGCACTTTGGCACACTTCCGAGGGTGGATCTGCAGCTGCCAGATGGTAACTAGCTCAACTGCAGGCCACTGGACTTGACAGCTGGATCTCATTCCATGGCTGTATCACAGCTCAATGAAAGTTTCCCAGTTTCAGATCTTCTCAGTTGTCTTTCTGTTCAGCTGAAACCTCTGTCAAGTTGACTTGAACAAAACAGAGAGTATTGCTGAAGCACAGTTGTGCACACAGAGGTTTGCAATGCTTTTCAATCAATTTTATTTTAGAATTAAAGTAATATAAATAGATTTAAATCAATACTTGTAATTAAAGCAACACAGTGTCCTTTGCCTCCCAACTGCAGACATAATCTGAGTTTTATTCTGTGAGGAACCATCCCTTTTGCAAATTACTGCAATCTCTTCAGATCTTGCCAGCTCTGCTAAATCATTAGATATGCTGTAAATGCATTTCTTAGGATACTCTGAAGAAAGTGGGCCAATAACTTTGGAAACTCTTCCTCATGTTTGTTTTATTTGAATCTATGGGTAAGTATTCAGATTGTGGGATTTACATGTCATGCAGATTACCAAAGACAGAAAATACATGAAATTATGCAACTTTGGGAATTAAACATTCCCTTAGATTCTTTCTTTTATTTATTTGAATTTTGCAGGATGCAATATTTTATTGCACCATATTAATTTTTCCATAAGATATCAGCCAGAGTATTTTATGTACTCTGGATTAATCAGCAGAATCAGATTTTTAGGTACTGCAGCATTTGTACAAATGTTTTATGTATGAAGACTGTTGCTAATTCTGGCCTCTGTCCTCAGGTGAGACAAGATGCTAACAATAAAAATCAAACAGATTTATTTTGTAAATATTTGAACATCAGGAGAATTTATGTGTTAGTTTGAGATCAGGCCTGTGTAGCTATAAATGGAAATTTTAGACAAAGTGGCCATGGAAGAAAATCATCTTGTTGGATAGTGCATGATGAGACTTTGTATCAGCAGGCAGAGAAGAAGTCCTCTCACCATCCCATCACTTTGTTTCCAAAGTAGTTCTAGAGTTATATAAGGTGGTCTGTCACCATATTTCAGTATTTAAAGGGTGTCTACAAAGAAGAAGGAGACTCCTTTTTTCAAGGACTCACATGAAAATATGAGGGGTAATGAGTACAGGTTACTCCTGGGGACATTCTGATTGGACACAACAGGAACATTTTTCACAGTGAGAGCCATCAGCCATTGGAATAATCTCCCCAGGGAAGTGGTAGCTTCCTCAACCTTGGACACTTTTAAGATTGAGCTGGACAGGGTGCTGGGCCATCTTGTCTAGACCACGCTTTTGCCAAGAAAGGTTGGGCCAGATGATACCTGAGGTCCCTTCCGACATTGTATTCTATGATTCTATGGTTCTATGAACATTTCATGCTCTGGAGGAATGGGATGGTCTTTCTTCCAACAACTGTAGGAGAGTAACCGTACATGATCTAAATAGCTGAAAATGCAAGAAATTTGGAGCCTGCTGACCATTAGTCTGATTTGGGAGGTTAAATTAAAGGCCTGTTCTCAGAAATTACACAATTTTCAAGCTTTTTGTAATAGTTGACATCAAGGAATTGAATCCTTTTCTACATCAGTGAGAAAGAACAGAGACCTATTGTTGTTGCTGCCATAGCAGATGGAGGCAGATCTGGGGGAGGTTTTAAAACCTGGACAGTCACTTCAGCTTATGTTTGCAGATGAGCACAACACACTACATCACTGTTTGATGTTGGTTGACTTTTTTTGCATGATAAACTGCTCCTTAAATTTATTTTACTACAGAAAATAAATGTTGAATGAGGGGTGGTCCTCAAGAAATGAGGGATGAGGTGTATCTTTCCAACAAATTCAATAGATACCTCACAATGCTGGGTCCTACACAGGACTGCTTCAAGTGCATTTATTTTCTCAGTCCTGTTGCTGTAAAGCTTGCTCAATGTGCTTTCACTGGCCCAATGTTCTTTGCATTTGGCTGTACTGAAGTTCCTAGAAGGTTTAAACCACACTTCACCATGAAAAGATTTGTGATTTGATTTTGCAGTAGCTGTGCTCAAAGCCCTTTGCAGACAAAGTGTCACACCACAGCTTTGAGAAACTTCTCATCTAAAAGACCTAAAACCAAGCCAAGGAAGACCTGCAAACAGGTAGGAAAACAATGAAAATTATATGTTAAGCTATGCAGGAAGAGAAAGGACTGGAGAGTTGTTATTTAACTTAGTAAGCCTCTGCTTAACTATGCAACTCATTAATTTCTTGACTGTTTTCATGCTTAGTTTTTAGTTTTCTCGGGGTAGGGACAGATAAAGATTGAGCAGAAGGATGTAAAATCTAACTGGAAATATAATTTGGAAAAGACAACTGTATGAGAATGAGGATAGATGGAACAGTGCCTTGTGCAATATGACTGGCACATGAATGAGTTCATTGGAAATGTAAACACAGAAAGTGACTGTCGGGGAAGCTCAAGATGAGCAATTCAAACTGATGAATAATCATGGAAGTGGTTAAGACTTCCTACTCACCGATGAGAAAAACAGTGATGTAAGAAGAGATTGGGTGGACAGAAGGAGTAAGAGCAGTGTTCCCCTTAGCGTGCTCAGCTGTGCCTGCCTCTTTGTGCCCGAGTCGAAATCTTAGCTCTAGTTGGTTCAGCATTGTCTAATGTTGTTCCTCACCTGATGAATAATCACAGGTTTTTGTGGATAGCTGTTGATGATTACTACCCTCTGGTTCTTGCTACAGCCTATAAAAAAGAACATAGAATTGATGCTCCTGTGGAGCTCTTGATTATTGAGGCAAACTATCAAACTTAAACAATCAAAGCCCTTAGATCTTTTAAATCATACTAATTGCCAGGGTAACCCTACAAATATGCAAACTGATTTTACAAGATTTTGTGTTCTTTCAGGAGCTAGACTTATTTCTGGAGATGGATATATGTAACTGACTTTGATCTGGAGGTTGTTTTTCTCTGATGCTGTTTGTTTTTCTGGTATATCACCAGTTTTCTTGGCAAGTTGTAAACATTCAAAATTCTCAGCACCTTTTGTCTTGGAGACCTCCCTGGACTAAGCTGCCTGTTACATCATTGCCTACAAAGGAGCTGAGTAGTCCTTTCTAAGCCTATTTTATTTCCAGAGATGGGGCATCTATCATCTCTCTCTGCAACATTCTACTTCAGTGAATTGATACAGTCCCCTTCAGACTCACAGAATAAATATGATCCAATCACTAAACCTCCCCAAAATTTGGAGGCATGACTTCGCAACGTAAAGCAAAACCCTATATTTGCTTATTTGTCTGCTGTTGAGATAGACTGTTGTCAAAAGCTCTTGGAGATAATAAGTACTTTTGCACTTCTGCATTCAGAATGTATCAATGTCTACAAAATACCTGAAAAGGCCTTTTTCAGGTTAATATGTCTCTGTGGAGTTTCTTTCCAACACCTACTGACTAGCCAGAGATGAATCAAACGAGAAGCAGTGAATCAGTAAGCTGTGGGGTTTAAGAGGTTGCTTGCACCAGACGATCTAAGACTAGGAGCTGGCAAATCCTTATTTCTGGAAGAAATCCACTGGACTTCATAAAATGTGGGGCAAAGGCAGTATGAGGAAAATGACTTAAGAATGATGCTAAACTGGGCTGTAGCCCAGAGTTGTTCACAGGCTATGATGGCTCCTTCCTCTCTAAGGCAGCAATACTAGCTGCAACACTTACTATGGGAGATTAACTTCCATAGAAAGGGGGATGCACACACTGTAACTCGTTTCTAGACTTGCTTTTATCTTGCTCCGGCACAGGTCACCCAGGCCTTGTGTGGGCAAAGCTACATGTTAATGATGATAAAGCTGCTCTTGGGTTTTTGAGGAAGAGCAAGCATCAGTTAGCTCTATCTCCAGTTGCTTTCAAATGCTGGCTGGTGAAACACTTGTGTCGGAGCAGGTTAGACCATACCAAAATAATACATATGCAAGTGGAGTGCATCGGTCTCTGGCAAAAGCTTTCTGTATGCAACCATTATTTCTTTTTCTTTCTTCACAAAATACATGCACAGGGAATTAGCATCATATATTGAACTCTTCCTATGGAATCCAGTCAAGCAACAGCTTGTTTATAAGATTCTGGAGATAGTGTTTTTTCCAGGCAGAACTTCAAACTCCCTGCTGCTTGGGACACTGGCTGTGATGATTGCCTGCAGCACACTGTAGCTTTTGACAGCGATTAAACCCAAATGCAATACTGAAGTCTGGAAAAAAATCCCTACCGTTCAGAAACAAATGGTCTATCTTATTCGGAAGTAAATAAAAAGAATTAGAATACTGTGGAACAGCCCTAGCCTCATTTATGTCAAATTTACTGATACCGAGAGCTAACAGTAATCGTGCCATCTCCTTAGCAGATTCCCTGCTGAAGTTCTCAGCCAGGGTCTGGGTATGGCCCAGAGAAGCAATGAGCTTTCAGATGTTCACAGTCTTAATATCAGCCTCACTCATAGATAAATTAATTCCCTAATGGGAATCTAGCTTTAAAATAACAGTCCCCTAATGAAGATACAAAACAAAAGTATACTTTTTCAAAAAAAATAGTAACTTTTAGAGTGATAGTTTTATTTGTATGCATTCAATAGCGCACAAGTTCTTTCACAGGAATATAAACACAGCAACTTAGAAACACCCATACCAGATCTGACCAGTATTCAGAGAATTCGAAAGCAGATGTAAGAAATTTCCCAGGAGGCAATGAGAGGGCTTCTGCTCCCAGGAGACAGTTTCTGCTTAATCCCCAGCGATGTCATGTTTGGCTGATTTTACTAAACACAGAGGCTTATATCCCTTAGAAAAGTAAAATACATATTATAGAACAATCTGTATTTCTTACATACAGATTTCTGTACAGTAATATTTACAATATATTGCAAAGATTACAGTCCCTGTTTGATACCTTTATTGCAAATGCTTGCTTCCAGGCCATAAACCCCAGACTTTGTACCTTTTGCTTGTTGCACTACAGCTGCAGACGTTGCCCCTTGTCACAGCATTGGAGCACCTGGAAACGCTCATGTGTAAATAGCAGCTAGCTCTGCACGCTGGCACTCCATGTGACTGTTTTAGTTTACATAGTTCTAGTCAAACTAAATAATTCAATTTACAACTTGCCTCTGCCCTCAGTTGTAGGTTTCCCAAAAGACTGGAAACCCAAATCCGTTGCCAAGACTTCTGTTCATTCTGCAATGGCTCACTTTTGCCACAGTTTATCACCAGACCTGAAAAATTCCACCCCGCCCAAAGCATGTCTTTTACAATCAAATGGCAGAAAAAAATAATCTTGTGATTTTTTTTTTTTGGAAAAAGATAGGTCGTGGATAATATTAGCCAGTTTTTCTCATTTTGAGAGACATGACTGGAAGATGCAGCAGGAGGAAGGAAAAACCTTTAGATGTAACAGGAAAAGTAGCTGAATGAATCTGAGAGTTTCCACTCTTTGGAAATATCACTGAATTAACCCTTCCCATGTTGTAAGGAGAAGGAAGGGTTGTCATCTACTGTTGTTCTGGCATACTGAGTAATGTAAGTTATTAGTTTACCCAGAAGGTATTACTAAATAAAGGGAATCCCTAAGTCACCAAGGAAAGATCTTAGATTGGTCCATATTGTCTCTAAAGTAAGTGATACCTGGGAGGGCTTGGGGTTCCTGTAAGAATTTGAACAGACCCAGGGAAATTTTGCCACATATCACAGTGGAGAATCACTACAACCCCACTGAACTGTTCAAAAAGACAAAAAAGGGGATTAAGTAATATTCAGAAGGGGTCCGGTTCTTATTTCACTAACCTCTGCCACAAAAGCATCATTGATTTTGAGAAAGGCTGATGTTCAGCACTTTCAGGCAAGTTAAACATTGAAAACTCACAACTAACGCACCTTTCACCTTAACTTTTGAAAGCTGCTCAACTCAAAGAGCGAAACCAAACGGAAGTTTGAAAATGAAACCAAAAATTTCCTTGGAAACAAAACAGAGTAATCCACTTCTGCTGTGGCAAGGCACTGACTTGTAATGCAAAAGATTTTTCCTGCACTCTGCAGTCACCATATTTTCAAAGAAAATCGTGTTCTTAGCTCTGACAAATACACATAAATATTTACATGGCATAGCGCCTTACAAAGTGAGCATGAAAAGAACAGATACATCACATTATGTTCCTGATTAATAGACTGCATCCCTTATAAACTTGCACCTTAAGTGCTTATTGCACTAGCAGTATCTTGGGTTGGACTTTTTGGAGAATCGTTCTTCAATAATAAAACGAATACACACGGAAATTTCCTTATTTAATGAAAATATCCCCATATAGTACTTTCCCTCTAACTCTGCAGCAGCTGACTCGTGCAGACTATTTAGTTTCCTCTCAAGTGGAAAGCGGGTTCAACCATTATTTTATCTGGAATTGTTATCTATCTATCTTGACAACTTCAGACATGTAGACCTTGGTACACAGCACTAGAAAATGAAGACAAATGCCCTGCATTCCCAAATGGTTGCTGTAATTAAGAACTAACCATCCAGGGATTGACAAGCACATTTAAAACTCATGGAAATGCAGGTGGGATGACCTTGCTGTGAATTTAACTCATGTCAACTAAACTGCTTGAGGAGTGCTTCAAGGACAACTCTTCCAGTGTGCAACATTGGCATAGGTTAAAAGAATCAACCGTTTCTTCTACCACCAATGTTTAATAAATCCTCGACGCTCACCCTCACCCACTCTGTTCCTGCAGATGTATTTACTGAGAGCGGCAAACACTTGAGAAACGCAGCTCAAGGGCTCACTTGAGCTTGGTGTCCACCCGGCTGCGCCAGCCACTGTTTTGGGTGAGGAGAGGCAGTGGAGGGAGATGCCGTGGCGTGGGCAGGAGGAATGCAGAGAACGAAAGGTGATATTTCTGGACTCCTCATGTGCTGGTCTGGTGGCCACGTAAGCCAGGCACCAGGACATCACATCCTTCTAACCTTTAAAGGACACTCAGATCAAGTCACTTTTACACCTCAGAGCAGCTGTCACAGATGGGCATTGGCGTAACCGAAAGGGGAACTGGCTTTGGCTCTGAATGTGGGGTGGGGGTTTTTCTTTGCATTTTTTTTATGGTTTGCAATGCCCATAAAGAAACGCTTTGGTGCAAGACATTACACCTCCCTCATTGTTGACTATCCATTTCTTGGAACCATGCTCCTGACAATATTTTGGACGGGGTTTTAAAGGCTATTCCACCCCACTGGCTGAGCAAGCTGTGTGACAAAGCAAACCAGATGGATACAAGGTACTCCAGTTTGGCTGGAATACTCTCAGGAAAAGAGAGACTGGGCAGGTATTTAGCTCACAATCTGTTTGCCAAGTATCCCAGATAAAGCTGCCACAATTAGTCCTCCTCAGCCAAGAAAATAATGTCTAACAATATCAGGATGAGCCTTGGTCAAACAGCCTTGGTGAGACAGAGCCTTTGAACGCACAGGTGGAGCCTGTCTGCCTGCAAGGAAATGCCTGACCCAGAGGTCATTGCCACTTCGCTCCTGCTTTCTCCCCCCATCCCCACTGACAAATTCATTGCTGGAGGGACGAGCGCACAACACAGACCTTCTGTCCCAGCCTGGCACGGCATCCTGGAGCGCTGAGCTGATGCTGAGTATCACTGAGGATGGCAGCTGCTGCCACACTTGGCTCTTCCAGGAGCTTTCGTTTCCTGCTGCCTCGCTGGGGCACAGTTCACAGTCTCTGCTTGTCATCATGGTCTCGGGCACCCCTGCGTTTGTGACAAGAGTGAGGCTGCCAGGGGATGTGGGCGAGGGAAGGAGATAGTAACAAAATACTAAACTTTGACAAAGTAGTCATGAGCCAGATGAGGGAAGAGCTTCTTCCTGTGTCTGGTTTCATTCAACTTCCAAGTCAAGGATTCTGAAAAAAAGAGGGAAAAAAGTGTCATTTATTATTTCCTACATCAGACAACCATAAGGTGATACTCTAAAACTTTTATTCAGCTGCTTATGGCTATTGCCAACACAGTAAATTCCCTCCCAGGAGATTTCCGCTTGAATAATGAACATCCACTTAAGAATAGTGCTGAAACTCAAGGCTGAATCATTGTGATTCAACACAGAAAGAAGGACGTAGAGTGAGCCCTCTTCATAGGGTCAAGGAATACTGACAGCAAGGAGCTGAATTGTAGAGGCGAATCCAGGCAGAGGAGCAGCAATGCCCATTTTGCTGAGGACCTCAGTTTTCTGAAGCTCAAAACTCACACTCAGGACTCTGCAATCATCACTCTGATGAAATGTGTTAGGGAACCTGATCCTTCAAATAGCTGTTTTATTCACATGATGCCCTACCAGGTCCCAGAGAGCTCATGAAAAATTAAATAGAGAACATAAAATATGAATGGGATGATCACCAGCCCATAAAAGCCCTGCAGTTCTTGACAGGTGTTACACATATAATGGATGCTGGATTTTAGAAAACAGGCTCTTGCCTCTTTTTCCAAAAAAAGTGCAACAATATTCAAGCCTCTGTGTAAAACAAGGAAACTTCAAAGATGTGCCTGGGAGCACCAGGGAGAGAGCACATTGCTCCCCCATGCAGCACAGCAGTCCACTGCCCATTAATAACCAGTAAGCAAACTAAACAGAGCCAAATAATGTGCATACAGTGAAAACACAAAGATATCTAACTTGATGCTGCATCATCAGAGAAAGTGTAGGACTGAAAGAAAAGACAATTTATCAGAAGTACAGGATTAATTTTGTAATCACGTGGTGATTAACACCTCTCAGCTTAAATTCTGCCCAGTAAATGTAATATTTAACTTAGTTAGCATTTGATGACTCTTATCCTTTATTCTGGGTGCTGTGTACAGGTATTTTTAGCTGACCTTTATGACCTTGCTGTTTCTGTGGTCTAAACGGCAAGTACATTCCCAGTTTTCAGAAACTTCCCTGGAAGCAATCACAGCCCTACTGCTGAGAGGTCTGTCGGCTGAGAGTCAGACCCTGTGTGTTTAAAATTAAGTCTACAATATGGGCCCTCTGGATTAGTGTTACTAGGCTGCCAAAAATTTTGGTGCCACAGGGAACCGCTGCCAGTGTAAAGCACTCCCTTGTTCTAGGCATTAAAATTATTACAGAATGATTATAGATTTGAATAAACTTGCTGTTTACTTCACGGAGGTCTTTTCACCACTCTGTTAGTCTATGCGTTCTGAACTGACATTTTGTCTTAGACTTTAAAAAAAAGCAAAAAAAAAGCCATTGACCAAGCCCATGAGAGGTTACACTGGCTCAGTCTCTGGAAAAGAGCCATCCTGCCCTTGCCTTTGCTCTGGTGAAGCATCTCCTCTGCAGGCTGTATGTTCTCGGAGGTGGTCACCAGCATCTCCTGTACCAGCTGCAGCCCTGGACACACTTAGCACCATGCAAATGGATGGGGAAAGGGCCAATTGCTCCCTCCTGGGCAGGCTCCCATTGTGGTTCTGGCCCTGGACCCTACCCCCTGGCAAGGGCATTCAGGAGCAAACAGGCTTTTATTTTGCTTTCCTTCAGGAAAATGTGGTTGGTTTTGCTATGTGGCTCCTGCTTGAGGTGAAATCTGCCTCCCATCTTCTGTTTAGCAAGGACAGCAGCTGCAATACGCTTCACAAACCGCCACCTGCATCATTTTGCTTTGTGTATTTCTCTGGCCTTTCATCACAGAAGGATGAGCAAGGAGAAATGATTAGCTCAGGAGAGCTTTCTTCTCTCTAAGGCAATTTGGGAAAGAATCTGCCCCATAACAACACTTCTTTAAGTTGTCAGCCGGATACCTGACAACCATTCTTATCTACAAGGGCCTGAAATGTTTGTGTGAAAATGGCTCTCTCTCCTCTTCTCTTCCCTCAACTTGCAGGAACAAAATAGGCTTTTGAGAAAAATTCAAATTTTAAGTGTGATCCATGTGCCACATAATTAGAACCGCTTTCGAGTAAGTAAATTGATTTTTGCATCACGTAGATTAAAGGAATCAGGAATGACAGCCTCCACATCCATGCAGGAAAAAGTCTCAAAAGCCACATATCTCCACGTACGTTAAGGCCCTCATGCTCTGTCAACAGCTGTATCTACACTAAATGATGCTCTTCTCATGCATCAGTTACAAACTGTCAGAAAAGATACATGTAATCCTTCGTAACAAAACCTATTCATGCAATTTTTAATTACCACACTGTAAGCTGCGGTGCCTACCCTAAAGGGCTTCATAAATTGGAAGGAGGAAAAACTGTTACCTCATTGATAACCAATCCTTGATAATCAATCATCAATATCAAAGGCTCCATGAGTATAGTTTTCAGGACATTGGGTGCAAAATAAACACTGCGTTTATTAAAACCAGGGTATTGGCTTTTACCAGACCTAAATTTGTCCTGCTTCTGTCTGTACAGTAATTATTTCCAAGCCTAGACGCCACACATTTGTATTAATTACCTTTAGCCTAAACAGTGAGGTACCCCTCTAACCAACGCAAACCGCACAACTGATTTCCAGCTACTGGTGTCAAACCACACGACAAAACCCGCTCCAGAGGAGCCAGACCCAGTGCACTCAAACAGGACAGAAAACTTAAACCCTGTGAAATGCTAGTGAGACACCTGAAGCAAACTTTTATGGCCCAAACAGAAAGCTGGTAGGAAATAAGGTTGCTAACTTTGCTCTCCTGATACTTGGTGCTGCCTGTGTAAAAGGGGGAAGAGAGAGAGAGTGAGGGACAGCAAGGAGGGGGAAAGTGCAGCAGTATAGTACAAATACAGTGTACTCCTAGTTAGCAATAGTTTCAGTTCAGTCTGTTATCTAAGCAACTGTAATTAAGGGTTTAATACTTATCTAAGGTGGATTTTTTTTCCCCCTGAGCATTTAATATAGCAGCAAATAGAGAAAGCAAGCTATTTACAAAGCAGGAATCTACAAAGGACAGACAACCCTCATAGATATTGACTCCTTAATTTCATGGTGGGGGGTGTCCAATCTGCATGCATTTATTTGTTTGTATTTTGGGGTATTTTGGTAATAACAGGATTTTCTGCTTTGCAAGAATGCCACACTGGAATATGTAGAATACAAAATACATGTTCCCTCAGCCCTTCATGAAAAGACTAAGATAAACTAAGAAAAGCCAACTGCTCGCTAAAGAGGAAGGAGAAATATATAAATAGACAGGGCGAGGCTTTGCACACACCTTGAGTTCACTAGGCTGCAACGCGGGCTGAAAGAAGCCATCATGCTAGTTCCTGGAGCACCTTGTTAGCCTCCTTGGCTTTCTTACACGTGTACAGCCATTTGATGATGCGAGCATTGCGCTCGATCACAGACGTGCTGCTCGGCACCTGCTCCGTGAGTTCATCCTCCAGCAGCCCCTCATCCCCGCTGTGCCTCGTGAAGTCGCTCTCGGACGTGGCCACGCTGATGCTGCGGATCTTGAAGGAGACGTTGTCAGACACCACAGAGAAGTTCTCTCTCCCGAGATCCTCGATGACCTCCTGCTCCAAGCCACAGTACTTGAAAAACGTATCAAACTCGGAGAAGGACTTGGAGTAGCGAGAGCTGATGTCCGACTGGGAGCGATGGAGACCTCTCCTCTTCACTTCCTTGACCTCCTCAGGAGGTATATTCAGTTTTGAGGGTCTCTCATGCTCTTTTGTATATATCCCTGAGGCTTCAGTGCTCACCGCGACGGTTTGATCCCCTCCATGCTTGCTCGGCTCATGGTTATCGTCTTTCGCCAAGGGAGGCTCTTTGCTCTCAGTGCTTGCAGTGTCCTCCATGACTCTGGGCATCTCAGAGGAAGCCAACTGCTTCTCCTTTACGGATCCTTGGAAGATCCTCCTCACCAAGCTCCCTCGTGAGCTGTCCTGGCTTTGACCTCTCCCGAAGTCACATTTCTGGCGGTAAATCACCAGGGAATCCGGCCGCATCTGCCTCCTGGGGATGCCGCGCCTGGCTATGGGGGGGCCGTGCTGCGAGGGGTCCCGGCAGGAGTACACCGCCTTAGCCAGCTCCAGGGGCTTCGCGCCCTTCCCTCGGCCAAAATCCCTGCTGGTGTTTTTGCTCTCCGCTGAACACGTCTCGATGCTGCTCTCCGAGGCCGAGCTAAGCAGGATGACAGGCTCCTGCTTGGTGCTGATGACCCTCTGGCTTTTCACGTACTTGGCCTTATCGGCTGCCAGCCTCTCCACGTCCCTTTTCCTGCCGGGGCTGCCTGCCTCCATCTGCCTGCGGAGGTACTCGGGCCCCTTGTTGAGGAGTCGCAGTGGGAGCGACGAGTGGAGGTCGGGGATGGCGTGCATTCCCACGGCCCGGCACAGTTCGGTTGGCATAGCAGTGCCAGGGACCCGGCTCCTTCCTTCCAGTCCTGGGAGGGAAGGGAAAAAAAAAAAAAAGAAAAAGAAAGAAAAAG